GACAGCGTGTGGTGATCTGCACGTGCTCCCGGCCTGGCCATCACCTGGCCACGTTCACAAGTGCGCCTGGGTCCAGTCTGTACACCCTCACCACTGCGGCGTGCTCCACCCCTTTGTCTCCCCAACTGTACGCGTCTGCTCAGGTAGCTACCCAGTGTGAGTGTCGCCGACTGTCGCACGACACTCTCCTGTGGCACCACCGCCTTGGTCACCCCTCCCTGCCTCGCCTTTGTAGCATGCACTCTCGCTTCCTGGTCTCTGGCCTTCCCAGGTCTCTGCCTGCCCTCCCTCCCTCGCCTGCGCCGCCCTGCATTCCTTGCGTCGAGGGGCGGCAGCGCGCCGCTCCTCACTCCTCCTCGTTCCCTCCCACAGAGGCTCCACTGCAGACTCTCCACCTGGACGTGTGGGGCCCAGCCCGCGTCCGTGGACAGGGCCACGAGCGGTACTTCCTGCTTGTCGTCGACGACTACACGCGTTACACCACGGTCTTCCCCTTGCAGCGCAAGGGGGAGGTCCCTGATGTTTTGATCCCCTGGATCCTCGCTGTTCGTCTCCAGCTCCGCGAGCGGTTCGAGTCCGACTTTCCTGTCCTGCGTCTGCACTCTGACAGAGGTGGTGAGTTCTCCTCCGACCTCTTGGCAGCCTTCTGTGCGGAGCACGGCATCCGCCAGACGTTCACGCTTCCGGCCTCTCCGCAGCAGAATGGGGTTGCTGAGCGCCGCATTGGCTTAGTCATGGAGGTCGCTCGTACCTCCATGATCCATGCGACTGCCCCTTATTTTCTGTGGCTGTTTGCGGTCCGGTACGCCGCGCATCAGCTCAACCTCTGGCCCCGTGTCTCCTTGCCGGAGACCTCGCCCACAATGCTGTGGACGGGGAAGGTTGGCGATCCGTCGCGTTTTCAGGTCTGGGGTGCTCCTGCCTTTGTCCGCGATACCACCGCGGACAAGCTCTCCCCTCGCGCCATTCCCTGCGTCTTCCTTGGCTTTGTCCCTGACGTGCCTGGCTGGAAGTTTTACGACCCCGCCTCGCGCCGTGTCTTTCCTTCTTAGGATGTCACCTTTGACGAGTTAGTTCCCTTTTACCGTCTCTTTCACTACCGCACTGCCCCTCGCCCCCCCCCCCCCCGCCGCTCTTTCTCGCCCCAGGTCCTCCCCAAGTAGACCCCCTCCCCGCGCCAGGTCCTGCTCCTTCAGGTGTCTCTCAGGTAGACCCTCCCGTACCTGCGCCTGTTGAGGTCACTGGTGACTCAGTTCCTGCTGGGGGTGGTGCTGTCCCTGGTGGTACGGAGTTTGGAGGTGCGGAGCTTGGGGGTGCGGAGCGTGGGGGTGCTGAGACTGGGGGTGCGGAGTCTGGGGGCGCTGAGCCTGGGCGTGAGGAGCCTTTCACCTCACAGCAGCAGCACGACTGGTACGGTCGCCGTCAGGGTCGCGCTTCTGGAGCTCGGGGCTCTGCTGCTGGAGGTACTTCTGCTGACGTCACTGGAGCTGGGAGTGGTGCTGGTCCTTTGTCTTCTGGAGGTGCTGGAGTCGCTGGTCCCGAAGGTGCTCGTACTGGAGGAACTGGAGCTGCTGGGGCTGGAGGTGCTGTGTCTGAGGGTGCTTCTGCTGGAGACCCTGGGTCTGGGGGTGCTGCTGCTGGAGGCACTGAGGCTGGAGACCCTGGGACTGGAGTTGCCGGTTCTGGGGGTGCTGCAGCTGGTGGAGCTGGCGCTGAGGGTTCTGGAGCTGCTGGAGGTGCTGGAGCTGCTGAGGGTAATGGAGCTGCTGGAGGTGCTGGAGCTGCTAGTGCTTGTGGCACTGCACAGCCGCGCCTGTTCTTCGCTCCGCCGTCTCCGTCGTCTCAGCCACCGCCTGACTCTGCGCTTCGTCTGGTTCTCCTAAACCCTTCGTGTACTGGTCTTCCGTTATAGCCTGGCTCACCGCTGCCTGCTCCTTCTCCGTACACTGCGCAGACAGGGGGCCTTGCTGAGCGTCGTGAGCCTGCGTCGCGTCCTCTCTCGCCTGTCCGTTCTGGTCGTTCCGGTCGTCGTGTTCCTCGTCCGCGTCAGCCGGCTGTCCCAGGCACCCGCCTTGTAGTCCGTCGTCCTTCCTCTCCTCCGTCGCGTGTTCCTCTGCCGTCTCCCCCTGCGTCCTCTCTGACTGACGTTGCGGACCCTGAGTCTGACCACTTTCGTACTGAGCACCCTACTGTCACGCGTCTGTTAGCCACAGTTGTCACAGACCCGTCGGTTGAGTCCACTGCTGCGTCTGCCCTAGTCGCTGAGCTTGTCGACTTTGCTGCTGCCTGTCGTCTAGACTACGCTGCTAGTCTTGTTGCTGAGTCTGAGTCTATCTGTCCTCCGTTTGTCGGGGGTGAGTGTGCTCTTAGCACGGACGTCCTTGAGGACAGGCACGAGGACCTTGAGTGTCTTGCGGCCGCTGCGCCTCATCTCGTGAGCATGCTGCTTGCCCCTGAGGGAGACCCGCATGCACTAGACATCCCGACCCTGCGCTCTTACGCTGAGGCAATCGCGGGTGAGTATTCTTCTCAGTGGCAGACAGCCATGGACGCAGAGATGGCATCCTGGAAGTCCACAGGCACGTACGTCGATGAGGTTCCCCCTCCCGGGGCGAACATCGTCGACGGCATGTGGATTTTCAGGGTGAAGCGGCCGCCAGGTTCTCCGCCTGCCTTCAAGGCTCGTTACGTTGCTCGAGGATTCAGTCAGCGAGAGGGAGTTGACTTCTTCCAGACCTTCTCCCCCACTCCGAAGATGACCACTCTTCGGGTGCTGCTGCACGTTGCCGCTCAGCGTGACTACGAGCTTCACTCTCTTGACTTCAGCACAGCTTTCTTGCAGGACAGCCTGCACGAGGAGATCTGGCTGCGCCGCCCGCCTGGCTTCACTGGGTCGTTCCCCCCTGGTACCCAGTGGAGCCTCCGGCGGCCGGTCTACGGTCTCCGCCAGGCGCCACGTGAGTGCCACGACACACTGAGGACGACACTTGCGGCTCTTGGGTTTACTCCGTCGACTGCTGACCCGTCGCTGTTTCTGCGCACCGACATTTCGTTGCCGCCGTTCTACATCCTCGTGTACGTCGACGACTTGGTCTTTGCCTCTGCTGACACTGAGGCTCTCGCCTTGGTGAAGTCGGAGCTGCAGAAGAGACACACGTGCACAGACCTGGGTGAGCTGCGCAGTTACCTTGGCTTGCAGATCACCCGGGACAGAGCACGCTGCACCATCACCCTGACTCAGTCACACACGGTGCAGCAGGTCCTTCAACGCTTCGGCTTTACCTGGTCCTCGGCACAGGCCACTACTCTGGCTACAGGTCACTTGCTCTCAGCTCCACCTTCGGACGAGTCCGTAGAGCCGAGTGGTCCTTACCCAGAGCTCGTCCTGACCTTGCGTACCCTCTTGGCCTTCTGGCTCGCTACGTGGCTCCTGGTTGGCACCGAAAGGTGCACATGGATGCTGCAAAGAGGGTACTGCGCTACTTGTGCAGTATATCGGGCATGGGGCTCGTGCTTGGAGGGCGGAGTCCAGTTGTCCTCACTGGGCACTCAGACGCTTCTTGGGTTGACGACCAGGCTACAAAGCGGTCGTCACAGGGTTACTCATTCAGCTTTGGCTCCGGCTCTGTTTCTTGGCGGTCTACACGCTCGTCTTCTATTCTCAGCTCCAGTTGTGAGGCTGAGATCTACGCCAGAGCCATGGCTGCACAGGAGTTAGGCTGGCTCACCTACCTGCTGACCGACCTGGGAGAGCAGCCTCGTTCTCCTCCAGTTCTGTACGTAGACAACAAAGCCGACATTGCCTTGTGTCAGGAGCACAGACTGGAGCACAGAACGAAGCACATCGCTCTGCGTTACTTCCTGGCTCGAGAGTTGCTCACATGGCCACTCGGGCCAACACTGCTGATATATTCACCAAGGCACTTCCGTCTGGTGACCATCAGCGCTTTTGTACTTTGTTGGGCCTTGTGCCTGCGTCTCCACACTTGCTGTAGTCTCTGCTTGTACTGTGATCTACATATATATATACCTGCATGCTTGCTCTTGCTAGGTAGAGATCACTGTACTGTTCTTGTTGCATATATACCTCTGCATGTGAACTGGCCTTGTGGCCGTTTGCTTGTGCTCAGTGTGTGTGGTGACGTTGTGATCCACCCTGAGCTTGTTTTGCTTTCCTTGACTGGTCTTGTGACCTCTTGCTCTCCCCCACTTTGCCTATGGGGGTGTGTCAAACATATACATAGGTTATAGTTTTGGGTAGGCTGTAGTGGGGTAGATACTGTGGGGTACAACCCCCAACGTTTCCTCCTTGTACTAAAATCACTCGACAGTCAACACATTCCTACCTAGCTTCTAAGAATTTCGTCTGATACCGAACCCCCTCCCCCCCCCCCCAGATCCCTTGCTTCTCTAACAGCTCAGCCCCCCTTTTAATGCCCTCGCTCCTCTTCCAGGCCTAGTCCAGACTCTCTCCCCCTTCCCCCCAGCCTTAGGTCCCAGGACACCCAACGTCCCGCTGTACGTCAGGTGGAGGTAAAACTCGATACCGAATCTCTCAGCGGAAACGGGTCGTCCAGCCTGACGACCCTGTGACGACCTGACGACCTGCTGCCCCAGGCAGAAAAAAACTAAAACCCTATCGGATGGCATGCCATTCGAGGGAGGCATCAACCCTAAATCCATGCCTCCCCGTGTTTAGGGTGATGCCTCCCTGACTGGATGCATGCCCGACTGGGGTTTTTTTTTTTACCCGCGGGCAGCGAGCTCCCTTGGGAGGACTCGCTTGTCCGCTGAGATATATTCGGCCATATCACTATTTCTCATCAACCCGATAAGCACATCTGCAAAATACGATTAACTAACCTGCCCCAGTATGTGTCATAAGGGTAATTCACCCTTTAACCAGAGGCCTAGAGCTTCCCACACAGCCTGGCGTCCACCAACAGATGTGCTCTACAGTGCATGAAGCGGTGTCAATCAGCCTTGCGGCGCGTGTGGAGTCAGCGAGCGCGGCAGAGAGCGATGGTGGCATCACGTGATGCGGAGCACAGCTGGCCGTCTGGCGTGAACACCACTGCTGTCACCTGCATGCACGAATGGATGAACGGTTGCATGCACGAATGGATGAACGGTTGCATGCACGAATGGATGAACGGTTGCATGCACGAATGGATGAACAGTTGCATGCACGAATGGATGAACGGTTGCATGCACGCATGGATGAACAGTTGCATGCACGCATGGATGAACGGTTGCATGCACGCATGGATGAACGGTTGCATGGACGCATGTATGCATGGGTGCATGGGTGCATGGGTGCATGGATGCATGGGTGCATGGGTGCATGGACGCATGGATGCTGGACGCATAGGTGCATGGGTGCACGGATGCATGGTCGAATGGACTAATGGATGGACGGATGCATGGGTGTATGGTTGCAAGGGAGCATACAGCAGCAGAGTGCTGGGTGAGCTGGGCGGCAGGGCGCGGCGTGTGAAGGAGGGCGCAGTCATAGAGGCGCACGCTGCCATCCCAGCCCCCGGTGGCCGCTACTCCACCCGCAGGGTGCAGTGCGATGGCAGCTGTGCCGGGCTGCTGTGAGCGCACCCGCTTCACCGCCTCCATGCTGCCCTGCACGGGGTTCAGGTGTGCATAGGGCGGAAAACGGGACACGAGAGGGGAGAGGGCGCAAAAGGGGGCACAGTGGGGGGGCACAGGGGGGTATGGGAGGGCACAGGGGGGCACAGAGGCGTGCAGGGGCGCACGGGGGGGCACAGAGCGGCACGGATGGGGGGCACAGGGGGACAGAGGGGCGCATTAAGAGGGAAGTGGTTGGGCATGGAAGAAAAGGGAAAAGGTGGGCAACGTATGTGCGAGGATAACGTGATGCCACGTCGGGTAACTGGGCGGTGGCGCTGCAGTGACGTGTGCTGTGAGGGGTGCTGTGAGGGATGCTGTGAGGGGTGCTGTGAGGGGTGCTGTGAGGGGTGCTGTGAGGGGTGCTGTGAGGGGTGCTGTGACGAGTGCTGGGCGGGCTAAGTCACAAATAATGTGAGGGTGGAGCGAGGGTGCAAGGAGGGCGGGTGTTACCTGAGAGAGGGAGAGGCGGAAGAAGACGGTGTCTCTGTCTGCCCCGCCTGACACGCCGTGCTCCGCACTGCTCCACACCGCCATGCTCTGCACTGCTGCCCGCCACACAGGGGGTTGCAGGGCATGGGTTGCAGGGCATGGGTTGCAGGGCATGGGTTGCAGGGCATGGGTTGCAGGGCATGGGTTGCACGGCATGGGTTGCAGGGCATGGGTTGCACGGCATGGGTTGCACGGCATGGGTTGCAGGGCATGGGTTGCAGGGCATGGGTTGCAGGGCATGGGTTGCAGGGCATGGGTTGCAGGGCATGGGTTGCAGGGCATGGGTTGCAAGGCATGGGTTGCAGGGCATGGGTTGCAGGGCATGGGTTGCACAAGCAGAGGCGGGAGTGATAGAGGAAGCACCTAGGTGGAATCAGGCAACCGGACAGAAACTCTGATAGACACTGGCACTTTGAGTGCCGCCCACCTGGTTGAGAGTGCAGGCGCGCAGCAGTGAGAGGGCGGTCAGGGCGGCGCACGTCCCACAGGGCCATGCGGCCGTCCTCGTAGCTGCTGGGCGCACAGGGGAGACGAGTGGGGGTGGGGGAGGTTGAGGGGGGTGAGGAAGGTGAGGAGGTTGAGGGGTGTGAGAAGGGTTTAGGCAGTGAGTGGTGGGAGAGGTGAGGGAGGTGAAGGGAGTATAAGGGGGATGAGTCACGAAACAGTGATGGTCGTGGCAGGTGCGAGAAAGGGAATGAAGCAGTGAGCAGCATGGAGCGAAGGCAGCAGGGGAAGGTGGGTGAGCGGACCCGGCGAGCAGGAAGAGCGCGGGGGAGACGGAGGGGCTGAGCATGAGGTGCAGCGCCATGGGCAGGCCTGGTGGGTTGGGGCGATGCGGGGCGTGTGGAGCAGAGGGAGCCGACACGACAGAGAGAGTGGTGTTGAGGCCAGGCAGAGAGGAATTGCAGAGACCGTAGTCGTTGGCAGCGAGTGGATGACAGCACGATTGTGAAAGCACGGGAGATGCTCCATGATGCGGACCGAGGGAGGAGATGACGGATGGGAGGAGATGCAGGATGAGAGGAGATGCAGGATGGGAGGAGATGCAGGATGAGAGGAGATGCAGGATGGGAGGAGATGCAGGATGAGAGGAGATGCAGGATGAGAGGAGATGCAGGATGAGAGGAGATGCAGGATGAGAGGAGATGCAGGATGGGAGGAGATGCAGGATGAGAGGAGATGCAGGATGAGAGGAGATGCAGGATGGGAGGAGATGCAGGATGAGAGGAGATGCAGGATGAGAGGAGATGCAGGATGAGAGGAGATGCAGGATGAGAGGAGATGCAGGATGGGAGGAGATGCAGGATGAGAGGAGATGCAGGATGGGAGGGAGATGCAGGATGAGAGGAGATGCAGGATGAGAGGAGATGCAGGATGAGGAGGAGATGCAGGATGGGAGGAGATGCAGGATGAGAGGAGATGCCAGGATGAGAGGAGATGCAGGATGGAGGAGATGCAGGATGAGAGGAGATGCAGGATGAGAGGAGATGCAGGATGAGAGGAGATGCAGGATGAGAGGAGATGCAGGATGGGAGGAGATGCAGGATGAGAGGAGATGCAGGATGGGAGGAGATGCAGGATGAGAGGAGATGCAGGATGAGAGGAGATGCAGGATGAGAGGAGATGCAGGATGAGAGGAGATGCCGGACGGGAGGAGATGCAGGATGGGAGGAGATGCAGGATGGGAGGGGATGCAGGATGAGAGGGGATGCAGGATGGGGGAGATGAGGATAGCAGGATGAGAGGAGATGCAGGATGAGAGGATGATAGGAGATGCAGGATGAGAGGAGATGCAGGATGGGAGGAGATTGCAGGATGAGAGGAGATGCAGGATGAGAGGAGATGCAGGATGAGAGGAGATGCAGGATGGGAGGAGAATGCAGGATGAGAGGAGATGCAGGATGGGAGGAGATGCAGGATGAGAGGAGATGCAGGATGGGAGGAGATGCAGGATGAGAGGAGATGCAGGATGAGAGGAGATGCAGGATGGGAGGAGATGCAGGATGAGAGGAGATGCAGGATGAGAGGAGATGCAGGATGAGAGGAGATGCAGGATGAGAGGAGATGCGGATGGGAGGAGATGCAGGATGAGAGGAGATTCAGGATGGAGGAGATGCAGGATGGGAGGAGATGCAGGATGAGAGAGATGCAGGATGAGAGGAGATGCCGGATGGGAGGAGATGCAGGATGAGAGGAGATGCAGGATGGGAGGAGATGCAGGATGGGAGGAGATGCAGGATGAGAGGAGATGCAGGATGGGAGGAGATGCAGGATGGGAGGAGATGCAGGATGAGAGGAGATGCAGGATGAGAGGAGATGCAGGATGAGAGGAGATGCAGGATGGGAGGAGATGCAGGATGGGAGGAGATGCAGGATGAGAGGAGATGCAGGATGAGAGGAGATGCAGGATGGAGAGAGATGCAGGATGGGAGGAGATGCAGGATGAGAGGAGATGCAGGATGAGAGGAGATGCAGGATGAGAGGAGATGCAGGATGGGAGGAGATGCAGGATGAGAGGAGATGCAGGATGAGAGGAGATGCAGGATGGGAGGAGATGCAGGATGGGAGGAGATGCAGGATGAGAGGAGATGCAGGATGGAGGAGATGCAGGATGGGAGGAGATGCAGGATGAAGGAGATGCAGGATGAGAGGAGGATGCAGGATGGGAGGAGATGCAGGATGAGGAGGAGATGCAGGATGAGAGGAGATGCAGGATGAGAGGAGATGCAGGATGAGAGGAGATGCAGGGATGAGAGGAGGATGCTGGAGGAGATGCAGGATGAGAGGAGATGCCGGATGGGAGGAGATGCAGGATGAGAGGAGAATGCAGGATGGGAGGAGATGCAGGATGAGAGGGAGATGCAGGATGGGAGGAGATGCAGGATGGGAGGAGATGCAGATGAGAGAGAATGCAGGATGGGAGGAGATGCAGGATGGGAGGAGATGCAGGATGAGAGGAGATGCAGGATGAGAGGAGATGCAGGATGAGAGGAGATTGCAGGATGGGAGGAGATGCAGGATGAGAGGAGATGCAGGATGAGAGGAGATGCAGGATGGGAGGAGATGCAGGATGAGAGGAGATGAGGATGAGAGGAGATGCGGATGAGAGGAGATGCAGGATGAGAGGAGAATGCAGGATGGGGGAGATGCAGGATGGGAGGAGATGCAGGATGAGAGGAGATGCAGGATGGGAGGAGATGCAGGATGAGAGGAGATGCAGGATGAGAGGAGATGCAGGATGAGAGGAGATGCAGGATGGGAGGAGAGTGCAGGATGGGAGGAGATGCAGGATGAGAGGAGATGCAGGATGGGAGGAGATGCAGGATGAGAGGAGATGCAGGATGAGAGGAGATGCAGGATGAGAGGAGATGCAGGATGAGAGAGATATGCAGGATGGGAGGAGATGCAGGATGAGAGGAGATGCAGGATGAGAGGAGATGCAGGATGGGAGGAGATGCCGGATGGGAGGAGATGCAGGATGAGAGGAGATGCAGGATGAGAGGAGATGCAGGATGGGAGGAGATGCAGGATGAGAGGAGATGCAGGATGAGAGGAGATGCCAGGAGTGAGAGGAGATGCAGGATGGGAGGAGATGCAGGATGAGAGGAGATGCAGGATGAGAGGAGATGCACGATGAGAGGAGATGCAGGATGAGAGGAGATGCAGGATGAGAGGAGATTCAGGATGGGAGGAGATGCAGGATGAGAGGAGATGCCAGGATGAGAGGAGATGCAGATGAGAGGAGATGCAGGATGGGGAGGAGATGCCGGATGGAGAGATGCCAAGTAATGCAGGATGGGAGGAGATGCAGGATGGGAGGAGATGCAGGATGGGAGGAGATGCAGGATGAGAGGAGATGCAGGATGGGAGGAGATGCCGGATGGGAGGAGATGCAGGATGGGAGTAGATGCAGGATGGGAGGAGATGCAGGATGAGAGGAGATGCAGGATGAGAGGAGATGCAGGATGAGAGGAGATGCAGGATGGGAGGAGATGCAGGATGAGAGGAGATGCAGGATGAGAGGAGATGCAGGATGGGAGGAGATGCAGGATGAGAGGAGATGCAGGATGGGAGGAGATGCAGGATGAGAGGAGATGCAGGATGAGAGGAGATGCAGGATGGGAGGAGATGCAGGATGAGAGGAGATGCAGGATGAGAGGAGATGCAGGATGGGAGGAGATGCAGGATGGGAGGAGATGCAGGATGAGAGGAGATGCAGGATGGGAGGAGATGCCGGATGGGAGGAGATGCAGGATGGGAGTAGATACAGGATGGGAGGAGATGCAGGATGAGAGGAGATGCAGGATGAGAGGAGATGCACGATGAGAGGAGATGCAGGATGAGAGGAGATGCAGGATGGGAGGAGATGCAGGATGAGAGGAGATGCAGGATGAGAGGAGATGCAGGATGGGAGGAGATGCAGGATGAGAGGAGATGCAGGATGGGAGGAGATGCAGGATGAGAGGAGATGCAGGATGAGAGGAGATGCAGGATGGGAGGAGATGCAGGATGAGAGGAGATGCACGATGAGAGGAGATGCAGGATGGGAGGAGATGCAGGATGAGAGGAGATGCAGGATGAGAGGAGATGCACGATGAGAGGAGATGCAGGATGAGAGGAGATGCAGGATGAGAGGAGATGCAGGATGGGAGGAGATGCAGGATGAGAGGAGATGCAGGATGGGAGGAGATGCAGGATGAGAGGAGATGCAGGATGAGAGGAGATGCAGGATGGGAGGAGATGCAGGATGAGAGGAGATGCACGATGAGAGGAGATGCAGGATGAGAGGAGATGCAGGATGGGAGGAGATGCAGGATGAGAGGAGATGCAGGATGAGAGGAGATGCAGGATGGGAGGAGATGCAGGATGGGAGGAGATGCAGGATGAGAGGAGATGCAGGATGGGAGGAGATGCAGGATGAGAGGAGATGCAGGATGAGAGGAGATGCACGATGAGAGGAGATGCAGGATGAGAGGAGATGCAGGATGGGAGGAGATGCAGGATGAGAGGAGATGCAGGATGAGAGGAGATGCAGGATGGGAGGAGATGCAGGATGAGAGGAGATGCACGATGAGAGGAGATGCAGGATGAGAGGAGATGCAGGATGAGAGGAGATGCAGAATGAGAGGAGATGCAGGATGAGAGGAGATGCAGGATGGGAGGAGATGCAGGATGAGAGGAGATGCAGGATGGGAGGAGATGCAGGATGAGAGGAGATGCAGGATGAGAGGAGATGCAGGATGGGAGGAGATGCAGGATGAGAGGAGATGCACGATGAGAGGAGATGCAGGATGAGAGGAGATGCAGGATGGGAGGAGATGCAGGATGAGAGGAGATGCAGGATGAGAGGAGATGCACGATGAGAGGAGATGCAGGATGAGAGGAGATGCAGGATGAGAGGAGATGCAGGATGGGAGGAGATGCAGGATGAGAGGAGATGCAGGATGGGAGGAGATGCAGGATGAGAGGAGATGCAGGATGTGAGGAGATGCAGGATGGGAGGAGATGCA